ATTGATTGGAGTAAGAGGAAGAATGTGAGTCTGAGCTAGTCTCAGATTCACTTTCACTATCACTCTCTTCCATATCTGTTTCATGTGTCTCTTCTGTCCATGCAGCATTGTTACAAGAAATATAATTTGCTGTTAGGATAAGTAAAATAGACTTGCAAAACTGAATAGCGGGTAATTTATTTTTCATAAGAAATCATTCTTACCTACATCAGCACTTCTCAATCATTTGTAAATAAATTTAAACGAATTTTTTAATTAGAAAACAAAAAAGAAATATATTTCCGATGAAAAATATACATTTATGTTCTAATAAATCTTATTTATATCTATAAAATGATTGAGAAATACTAGGTTTATTTTCTTCGGAACAGAGTGCCCCGATATTAATACTCTGTCACATATTTTTAAATGAAATTGTAAGTAACTAATTATTATGTTACAATAACTTTTTTAAAATACATATCTTTTCACATGATAATACTTATGAAATTTCGTAACAATCAAATAATTTACTAAAACATTTAAATATGAGCATGCAAACCCATATAATAAACAACATAAGGAGAGTAAAACATACCAACATCACTATTTGTTCCAGTACTAAAATCTTCTTTATCAGACTGAATTTCTAATTCGACCTTCTTAACTTTATTTGGTGTTTCTTCTTCAAATGTTTCCACAGATTCTTCCATAGTTATAGTATTTTCATTACTTGTTGATACACTGTAATATAATAATTAGTATAATCAATGAATTCTATTTTCTATAAATAGTTATTAGTTGTTTATATTACAAACCGTTTCTTTGGTATAGTTGGCTGATTTTTATTAATAATTTGTGGATGATCTTTCATTAAAAGTTGTTGTTTTGCCTTCAATTCTTTCAGGGCTGATAATATATTTGTATCAGCAATATCAAATGCAGTTTGATCCTATCAATGTAAAGTTATGAAAGAGACAATTTTGGTTATTTTTAATATAAAACAATTATAATCTTACAGCATAATTCTTAATGTCCATATTACAAAAATTTTCCACTAGAAGTTCACTAGCTTCCAATTGTCCCCAATGTGCTGCGGCATGCAAAGGTGTCCAACCATCAAAATCTTGAGCATTAACATCACACCTAGCTTGTAGCAATATTCTGAAATAACAGTGTTGAATGTAATAAATAATAAACAATACCTTGGTATTTTTTTTCAATATCTTTTCTTCTAACAGTTCATTTTAATAGAAGTTGAAAATTCTTACTCCATGACATCAATATATCCTTTGGCAGCAGCAACATGAAGAGCAGTAGCTCCTGATTTAGGATGGATTGAGTCCTTGCCTGCTGCTCCTGATTGCCATGCTCTAGCATCATTTAACATTGACCTTTCTTCTTCGCTTCTAGCTTGATCACAGTCTATACCTATGAATTAAATATAAATTACAAAAGGTATTCTTTTTATAACAATAATTAAATGATCACAATATAATATTTTTACAGAAGATAACTATAAATACAAACCAGCTTTACTTATATGTTGTTGCAGCATATCTTCCATTTCAACACTTTCTGCAATATCGAGAGCCAATTGACCATCATAGTTAACTGCTGCCAGATTACATCCTTTTTCTATTAGATATCTGTAAAATTATATCGTTTCATTTAAACAAATTTTTGAAATTTATTATTCCGTTACAATAATTATTCAAATGTGTAAATCATATTATTTTAATATCAAAATAAAAGTAATATTAACTTAGCAATAGATATAAATCCACAAGATGCAGTTGCATGCAATGGTGTCCATCCTTCATTATCTCCACAATTGATATCAGCGCCTTTTTCTACTAAAAATTCGACCATATCCAGATCATCATTGATACATGCCTGTAATTGAAATATCATGACTTCTTTTAGTTAAAAACTATAATAATAAAATTAGCAAAATATATTACAATATAATATTAATATTTAAATGATAAAATAGATAAGAAATTGCATAAATATTAATTTTTTAAAAATACATTTATAAATCAAAATACAAGGAAAAAAGTAAAAAAATATAGTATTAATTTATTGATAAACTTTAAGATGTTTAAGTAGTGTATATGATTGAATGTTTTATTACACCTACTGATTGTAGATTGTTTAATTATTTTTTGCTTTGAATACATATATATAAATTTAAATAAATGATATTTAAAGGATGATGTCATAGGTAGATTAAAAAGGGCATTATGTATCATAACATTTTAAGACAGAGGACATAGAATACAGATGCTGCAGCCTCTGACTTCTAACAGAGAACTATAAATAGCATTTGATGCCTGATGTATTTTCACATTCTATTTTCGCAAATCCATGAAATGCCTAAACTTCCTCTTACTATCACACTTAAATAACAGTAACAAATATAATACATTTTATACAAAATACTTTATTTATACGTATTATTTTTGAGGTAAGTTACTCTTGTTATGAATGTTCATAAATACTACATGAATGATTTTGGCAGAAATTAGTAATTACATAACTTTGATGCAGTCCATTCACAATTCATTTATAAGTATAACTTATCAATTATATTTAATTTTGCAGTAATATAAACAACAATAATTTTGTTGAAACATGCATTTAATAGCACTCTTATTCTGTATAAAAATTGCAATTGCATTTTTTATTTCCTATTAAAAATTATATTAAAAACCATTTCTCAATTACATGATTTGTTAGCAAAAAGTTTTATTTGTAGTATATAAATAATTTGATTTTGATTTATAAGCTTTCAATAAATTTTTTTAACTTTTTCTCAGATCTTTAATTGATATAAAAATGTATATGTGATTAATATATAACATATAATATGCAAAAATGTTAGTAATTTAGTATAATATATTAATGCATTCTATTAAGTTTTATAGCAATTTAAATGTTTTTATACTCCAAGCATTATCAAAATGGATATCTTATGCAAAGTTATTTTTAGTTTTATTCTAACTTTATTTACTTTAACAGAAAGAGATTATTTTAATTTACATGTAGAAACATAGGTTGCATAAAAGGTATTATGTTAGGTAGTAATTTACAAAATATGTAACAAAATTTAAATGAGCAGTTATCAATGGCTTCGAGTTTTAACATAATTATCTAATATTTGTGATATATTTAACATTGATTAAAACATTAAATATATAAGGAGGAAAATTAAATTACAGAAAAAATAAAATTCATAAATAAAGAATTTTATTTTAACATTTTTATTAATTTAGAACTACATAATAATTTAATGCTATATTTTTTATCATATTTACATAACTGCTATTTACATAAATTTTGTTATGAATATAAAATACAAGAAAGACAATTTTGTGTATGTTATGGATATTTTTAAGTTAACATGAAATTACAAGAGCAGACGTCAAATTTATTATTATTGTATTTATTTTTATTACTTAATTGTGCTACATTTTATACAGTAGATAATTAGGTAAATGTATAATAATTTTGTTCGTTTCTGAAATTTCATTTCTTGCATACATAAACAATAATCATATAAAGGTGGGGGGTGAACAGTTTTGTCGACTGTTATCAGAGGGAGTAGTTGTATGGCTTGAATTGCGAGAGATAGCGGAACTACACTTTGTAACGAAACTACATCTGCATTTTTTCGTATCGTTAAATGTAACATTATAGATATGAAAGAAAATTTGATCAATCACAGTTGAATTAGACAGCTGGAGCATATAGTAGCCATCTTGTGATAAGAATTATGATTGAGGGGGAAAAATATGAAGAGAAAGCAAAACGAGAAGAACTCGGTCAGGTTTGTTGTTGTGGATACATGTATTAGAGGAAATTGTGGAATATAAACAAAAGTGGAAAAAGGAGATCAAGAGATTTTACCTGATGTAACGCAGTGAGACCGTCAACATTTCCGGTGTTGATATCCGCCCCCTTTTGGAGTAAACGTACGACCTCATCCTTGTCGCCTGCCGCGCATGCTGCCAGGAACACACAATCCGCAGAAAATTTAATCTTTCGTGCGACCTGACGTGGTTGAGTCGGTTCACGATTCGTTTCGGACTGTTCCCAGCGTTTGAGCTGTTCAGCCCTTTTAAATAGGGCTGAGCACGAACGACTCTCTAGAGACATTGCCCGAAAACACGCACGACTGCACTTAAGAACCTTATAACCACTTCGCACAGTATCTTCTTCTCTTTCTCTTCTTCTCACTCTCTCTCTTCTCTACGCTTTTGGATCTCCACTTCGCCGAGGCCACTTCACTTCAGTTCACTTTGCGTGATTCGACACGCTGAAACGATCGTTTCTTACTTTTTACCTCCATATACGACTTAATCGCGGATCGCGTGTTTTTAAAGAAAAAAAAATATACGTTAAAATTCGTTCTGATGGACTACGAAGGGAGCGGTCGGTCGCCTTCACCAGACTCAGTTACAGGACGGCTAGATTCGCGTGCTCTTTGCTATTCTTGGCCGTCCCGTATCGTGTGAGCTGTGTCGAAACCAACGAAACAACCTGTAGTGTAGCCAACATTTTAAACTGTTATATTCCTAATACTATCTTAATTGTCGCATCATATGTAATTCACCATTAATATTTCAAATATTTGTAATTTACGAAAAATAATAACTTTAAAATATATTTTTATATAACATAAAACTATTCAAAATGTATATAATTTTCAAATTATAAGTATAATAATTTTATTTATAAAATGATTTGATATATTTTATTATTCATAAGATTTTTAATATTAAAATATACTTTAATATAACAAGTAAAAAAATATTTTATTTGTTATGGGTTTATAAAACTACAGAGGTAAAATTTATTTGTATAGATAATACACTGCTTATTTTTATGGTTCTAAAATGAAAAATAAACTTTCATTTTACGTTGTTCATATAGTTACTTTTTTTGTTTTGAGGTTGACATTTGTTTTTTTATTTCTCTAGAACCATGAAATCATTTAGATTTTCGCGAAAGTCATTCTTGGTTGAGGTTAATAATAGTTCTCACTAAAAACTATTAACGACGTATAGTTTAAAGTGGTGTTACAATAGTAATTTGTGAATAATGAATACTGAACAAATTTTGAAGTACGACATTAAACAATGTTTAAATTTAATAGTAGTTGGTAAAGATACAGATGTTACTGAAGGATGGATCAGACTTAAAAAACTAGAAAGTGAACCTGTATATGGGCAATTAAATAATTATGAAACTATCTTACGAGAAATACTCAGTGATGAGATAAAAAATGTGCAAGAAGTACCAAAGATCTTGATCTGGTTTTCAAAATATTTAACAGAGAAACCATTTACCGTTCAACCAATTTCAAATGATATTGCAACAATGTTAAGAAATACAGAAATCAGTGACATGTCTCATTTGACAATGATACTTCAAGTATTATTACAACATAGTGTCTATTTATCAGAATCTGTGAGTCATTCGAGACTTTCCGAAGCAGTTGTTGTTAGTTTATCTACTTTTGTAATGCCGTGTGATCCAAAAAAAATTTCCGAGTTTAATGACAATGCTACTAAAGTACAAAACTTTTTGAAGGTAGTAAGGTCAAAGTCTAAGAATATTGAAAATGATAATTTAATTTTTATATGTTTGCAAACATTATATAGAATAATATCTGATACTAAACAAAAACAAGATCCTGGGCCAGGTTTGGCTGCTGTATTACAAGTGGTAGAACCTTCTATCATACCACAAGCTGTTAACTGGATTCTTTCTGAATCACATTCTAATGCCCAATTAACTCAAGCTTTAAAAGTTTTATGTAGTTGGCTTCCAAAATGGATAGGTGATCGACTTAGTACTTGGATTATGGAATTTATACTTGGCTTAGAAAAACGACATAAGTATTCAATACTTATTGAGGTCACAAAAGCTAAACTTGATATAATGTTTCATGCTTTATCAGTACCTGTATTTCGTCAAAATGCTTCCACAATTATATTTTATATATTAAAAAGGCAAGGATCTCCATCCTTGTTCCAAAATATAGTAAGAAACACACAAATGGTGATATCTTCTTTTCTAATGAAAGAATATTCTGAATCAAGCAAGGAATGTATACAGAATTTAGTTGATATCATGAAAATACTTACATTAAGATTTTCAAATCAGCGTGTCTATAATAATTTGGAAAGTAGCTTCCCAGTACAACCCCGAATGCATATTGTTAAGGAAATATGGAATGAACATGTTTGGGTGGATGAAATGGAAGAGATTGAACCAGTAATTGAGTCACCAAAAACCCATTTGGGAAAAGTTGGATTATCAAATCTTGGAAATACATGTTATATGAATAGTGTATTGCAAGCATTGTTAATGACCAGACAATTTTGTTATGAAGTATTAATGTATAAACCTTCAAACAAAGTTGATGATCAAGTTGTGCTTAAAAAATTGCAAAATTTATTTGTATTGTTATTATATTCAAAGAGGATTTCCTTGGCACCAACTGAAATTTTATTAGCTTCACGTCCTGCTTATTTTCTACCGGGTCAACAACAAGATAGTTCAGAATTTCTCTGGTTAATATGTTGCTAATATTTTAATGCTTATTTTTTACATTAAAGTAACATTTTGTAATTACTATTTGTTAATTGTAAGTTTACTAATGGGACCAGAATTTTCAGATTTTTTTGCTTGATCTTTTATATTTTTTAAATAAATTATGTATGATAAGATATTTGATTAAAATAGTTTTTGTAAACATCATGTAATTTGTTTTGTTTTTTTTTTTGGCAGTCATCTTTTAGATCTTTTACATGAGCAAGAGAAATCAACTAGTATAAATAGTGAAGCTAACAATTCTAATCTTAAGTACAAGGATGATAGAGAAATAAATGATATTTCATCAACAAGTGAAGAAGGAGCTAGTATTAAACGTTGGACAACTGAAGAAGATTTAAGTGGAAGTATTGTACTGGAAAGGAAAACACAATCACTAGCAGATTTTACTCAAGGTAACTTGTTTTATAAAGTGTATTTTACTATAAAAATATTATTGTAAACAGATTTTATATTAAATTTATATTGGTTCCCATGTTACAGGAGAAGACTTGGCACAAGTTCAGCAACTTAGTGATTCACATTCAGATTCCACAGACAGTGGAATACAATCTGTAGGTGGAGAAGATACAAATACACAAATACCTCTTGTACATAGAGTACTAGGAGGAAAATGTAAAATTACTTATCAATGTGCTCAGTGTGATACTAGTTCTCATAATGCGGATAAATTTCGTGATTTACAATTGTGCTTCCCAGAGGAAATACAAGAGAATCAGGAAGTTTCTGTACAAGATCTCATCAATTATTATCTTACACCAGAAAAATTGACTGGTGAGAATAAATATCGTTGCGATAAATGTATGAAGCTATGCGATGCACAAAGGATCATAAAAATATTGCACACACCGACATATTTAATTTTAATATTAAAACATTTCCGTTATGATTTCGATACCAGATTAAGAACGAAATTACGGCACAAAGTAATGTATAACGAAACTATACAATTACCAGTGTCAACGCCATTATGCACAACTACAGAAAATTATCAGCTGTATGCTGCTGTGGTTCATTCAGGTTATAGTATGGACTATGGCCACTATTTTACTTATGCTCGCGATTCAAAACAAAATTGGTATAAATTCAATGATAGTTATGTTTCACAGACGACATTTAATGATTTTAAAGATTTAAAACCTCCAGACACGCCTTATATATTATTTTATGAGAAAACTGTGCCGTTTGAAGGACTTTATGACGAGGATAAACCTGAATTGTTAACATTAAGTAAATATTTACAAGAATTAGTAGCAAACGATACTACAGCTTATATCGAGGAATTGAGGCATCAAGCTGAAAAATCACAACGTGGACGGCATAGTTCGATATTGTTTCGAAAGAATGAGAATTCGGATGATGAAAATCCTCCACCTAGTAATTGTCGGGGCGCAGTTCATATGCCTGCGAGTCGTTTTCTTTATTAAGTTATTTTAACATTTAAATATTATATTCTTTTATAAAATTAATCGAATATTCCAAGTAAATTTGTAATACATTTTCCTTATGTTAGTAAGGAAGACAGAGTTCCTTTTTGAATACAGTGCTATTGTATGGATTGGTGTAAACGTTTTCGAGAACAGTATTGTATGAAAATTTATAAATATTTGTTTGTGCATTGTTGCTGTACATTTTTATATGTGTAAAACAAATTTGTATATGTTTGTACATTTTACTATTATTTTTAATATTTGACTAATACATCGTAAAAAATTGTTAACATTAATATTGCAATATTAAAATATTGTGAAATATATGTAACGAGTACTCGCGAATTGTACTTAGTATACATTTTTTGTAAATTTTAAATAATTCTTTTAAATGTCACTGTGTATCAATGTATAAAGTTAAGAAAGGAAGAAATCACATTGTTATTATTGGAAAGTGTATTATATAATTGCGATGGAAAAAGAATACAAACTCAGTATTTTATAAGAAGTTTAATATAATTGGCTGTGTTTTTACATAGTGTATGGATTGAAAAAACAGTATTTACATAATATTTGAAATACTATCAATTTTATAATTATACTTTTGTCATGTTTTCGCACACAATGATTTGATATCTATTTAAACAAATGCCCTCTGTCGTGTGAGAAAATATACGTGTTATTTGTTAAACGATTTTGTATTAACGTTTATTCTGGTTTCTATTGTGCATTATTTATTCGTAAATTAATAAATAGAATGTACATAATTTTATAATTTATCAAATTAATAATTTCTTAGTTCAGTATTCAACAGATAAAAAAAAATACTGTCTATCTTAATTTATAGTTGAAATATTGTAGTGTACAATATTTATTAAGTTTTATGTATTTGTAAATCTCTTTAGACGGTACATGAATAAATTATGCAAAGTAAGTTTTTTATAATAGATTTAGTACGTTGTATTCATTGCTCATTGAATAGTATTTGTTGATATAGGAAAATAGCACAAAAAGAATAAACATTTAATTAACATTTTGTTGCACAATTATGTTATTATTATTGATATTATTTATGTGTGGTGCAACTATTTTCTGTTCGTTAACATTATAGTAAACTATAAGTGTGAGAAACTCACTAAAATATAATTGAAAGTAATAAATAATAATACATGATTTTTGTCTATTAAGCTATATAACTTATTATCTTATGGGATAACCCCATTTTGAACTCCACATAATTGAATAATATATTTTATTAACTTTCTCTATTAAGTTTTAATTACTTTTATTACATTTTGCAATATATATATATATTTTGACAATACTTAATTTACCATAATATCGGTATTGTAACCCTCTTATTTCACCGCGTCGTGTCGGAAGATAATTAAGTGTATTAACTATTTGATAACAGTGCATTGAGTCAGTAATTACAAATACTTTACGTGGGTTTGATAAGAGAGCATTATATGTATTATTTTAATTGTTTGGTCGACTTTTCTACCAGTTAAGTCTTTTGTTTGTATTACAAGCAACTCAGCAAAATTATGAAGAAAGTGTATTTAGCTGTTTTTGCTAGTAAGTTAACTCAATTACGCTATTTCATATACTACTTTCGTTCTTTTATTCTATGAACTTGGCGTTGTCAATAAGACAATGTAAGATAAAGAAAATAGAGCAAAGGAAAAGGAAAAATATAGTTTTATGAAAGACGTTTTTCATCGATTATTATTAGGTAATATTGGAATGATGTCATATGGTTTATTCTTTGGTTGGTCATCGCCTTCATTGCCTCTTCTGTTGCAAGACGAGAGTCCTATACCTTTAACATTGCAACAGGCTACATGGGTCTCATCTATTTTCACCATGGGTGGTGCTATCGGTTCACTACTTTCTGTTTACATCGTAAACGTAATTGGCAGGAAGTCGACCTTTGTTTCCACTGCCATACCAGCAGTGATAGGATGGATGATGATTGCTTTCGCGACATCAGCATGGGTAACTTATTAAATATCTTTTTATTACGTACAAGTGTAACAATGTAAATCGAAATCAAAGATTTTAAATGTTAAGTTAATAACATTTTAACTAAAACGATTTTACGAGCAGTATATGAATCAAGCTTGCAGTTAGATAGTGGCTACTAGTTTTAGCTCTTTCCATATTTCCTTTATCAAACTTCTTGTAAAATGTGTTTCATAAAAAGCTATTCAGTAAACATTTTTCAAACTTAAAATATGTAATTGCCACCATTTATGTGAAATATTGTGCTACAGGAATTAATCCTGGGTAGATTTGTTTGTGGATTAAGTCAAGGAATTGGCTACACTTCGGCCACCATGTACGTAGGTGAAATTTCGCCCGCTGACATTCGTGGAATATTAACGTCGATGTTGACCGTAGCTACGAAATTTGGTATGTTCGTTGTGTGGACGATAGGACCGTTTCTCTCCGTGAGAGATCTTGCGCTTGTATCGTCATTGATACCAGTTCTTTTCTTCGTGAGCTTGGCATCATTACCTGAATCTCCATACCACTTGATGCTTCGTGGCAGACACCAGGAGGCGATAAAGTCTCTCATGCAATTAAGGGGATCCGGGGATGTTTCAAAAGAAGCGGATATCATCGACAAATCCATAAAAATCGATCTGACAAAAGACACTGGATTATGGGAGTTGATCAGCGTCTCCGGGAACAGAAAGTACATTCCTATTTAATAATCGACAATTTTTTAACTAATTTTACCAAACCTCGAATGACATTGACTCGACCACGATGACGTTTATATATCTTATAACAAAAAAAATTGAATTCGCGTTAAATAATGTTTCTCCGAAATGAAAGCTTTTTATTATTTTCATTTTGCAGAGCATTAATAGTTGTGCTGGGTCTGTTCGTAATTCAACAGTGGAGTGGCAGTTTAGCAATAGTTTCGTATGCCGAACTAATTTTCAACGAGACGAATAACCATTTTGAAGGGAAATATGTGACCATGGTGTTGGGTGGTATACAAATGCTGTGCTCCGTGATCAGCGCGTGCGTGGTGGATCGCTACGACAGGCGGACTCTGCTCCTAATTTCCGCATCCGGCATTTCTATCTCCACTTTCCTCATTGGTTTATTTTTTTTCCTTCGACATATCCAAATGGACGTCAGTGAGATCACTTGGTTGCCAGCCGCTGGATCGATAGTCTACATCATCGTGTACTCCATCGGTCTGTCCGCACTTCCGTTCACCATGATGAGCGAGGTTTTTCCAACAAATGTTAAAGCTCTGGCAAGCACGATTGGAATACTGTGCTTCAATTTTTGCGCCTTTCTCGTAACTCTCTCTTATCAGGATATCGCTAAACACGGCATACACGTCGCATTTTGGCTGTTCTCCTCGACCGCTGTTTTAGGCACCCCTTTTATATATTTCTGCGTGCCCGAGACGAAGAGGAGAACGTTGCAGGAGATACAACAGCAGTTGCACGGATATAAATTGTAACAAAGATTGTAAATATTTTTCTATTATCGTTCATCGAGATCATTGTCAACATGTACATACAGTTAAAATGGAGATTCATCGATGAAGATTCAATCAAATGGTTTAGGAAAGAATAGACTAGTTTGCAATCAAATCTTCGAATTTATTCACTAGATTATTAGAGCATGAAATAATGGAGTAATTTAACGAGATTTTCTAGTATGTGTTTTTAATACTCGAAATGATGTGCGAGACTTGTGACGAGACATAGGACGTTTCAGCGAGTAGGATGTCTACTCTTTGTTTGTCTAAAAGAGGAATAGAAAGGATAAGATAATTTGACGACTTTTTATGTCCAGCGTAATAAACAATTAGTTATCATTAAGTCACGTTTGATGTTTGTCGCTGAACTTTACAGATATTTTTTAATATTTCAGATCGTGACAAAAGCGAGGCGTGTTCCATGCTTGTTTCGCATTATAGTCCAATGTTACAAGGCTAGAGCATGTTTGGTATGGGCCACTTTGTTATCCCATTCTCCTGCAGTTCAATCTTATTGCAGTCTAATACAATCTAATATAGCTTACTAAAAATCTTGTAAATGTCGTTCATTAAACATACTTAAAGATACATTTCCTACAGTCTATTAAAAGAGAAGATTATTTTCCTGTTCCATACATTATCATCTGATTAGGCGAGCGCAATAATCAAGAGATAATTATCATTTATTAATTCAATGCTAGTCAATACTAGTCTAATTGTGCTGTAATAATTACGAGTCATTGAAATTAATTGACTTATCAGATTGCATAAACCATTTTCTGATTTATACGACGCGATGCTACTCGGGCTAAGTATATATAAACCATTACTACTAGCAGTGATCCCTTCTCATTGATGCTCAGACCTAATAGTGATATCACGTGTAATTCCATATCCCATAAACAATTATCGCACTGTGATTTTATATAGAAATTATTTTTCACTAAATTATTCGTAGATGGATTATTTTACACACTGATAAACATTGTATTTATTAAATAATACCATGATAACACGTAATAGGTTAATTTCTCGATTGTGTAAACGAATCGTTAACTAACCGCGTTGATACGAACAGCGTGCAAATATTTATCCATGAAAACTGAAATAACACAGTCGAATAACATAAAAGAAATATTTTGTTCAATGAAACTAGTGGTAATGGAATTTATGTTCCATCTGAAGGGACTAATTATCGTTCGGTCGCATGTGCCTGATATTAATTAACACCCAAGTAGTATAGTATATATATTCTATTCGCTTCGCGTCCTGCTTAAGATTAGAAACGAAATTTCGGCATAAAGTAATGTATAACAAAACTGTACAATTACCAGTATCACGCTATTATGTACAATTATAGAAAATTATCAGATGTATTCTGCAGAGGTTCATTCAAGTTATAGTATAGATTATTGTTACTATTTTACTTATACTCGCGATTCAAAACAAAATTGGTCTAAATTCATAAACGATATTTAATGATTTTAAAGATTTAAAACCTCCAGACACGTCTTATATATTATTTTATGAAAAAACTGTGCCTTTTGAAGTACTTTATGACGAGGATAAATCCGAATTGTTAATACTAAGTAAATTATCTTATGGGATAAATGTATTTTGAATTATGCATGAATGAATAGTATATTTTATTAACTCTCTTTTTTAAGTTATAGTCAATTTTATTATACTCCATATATATATAGTCTAGATAAAATTTACCATAATATCGGCATTGCAAGCTTTTTATCTCGATGTGTCGCGTCCCGACGCGCCGTAATTAAAGATATAATCTGTTTGATAACAGTACATCTAGCCAGTGTTTATGAATACTTCGTGTAGATTTGACAAGAAATCATTGTCTGTATTGTTTCAATTATTTGGTCGATCTTTTTTAAGCTAAGTATTTCGTTTGTATTGCGAGCAATTCAACAAAATCATGAAGAAAGTGTATTTAGCTGTAGTTGCTAGTAAGTTAAGTCAATTATTTCATATATTACTTTCGTTCTTTTATTCAATGAACTTGGCGTTGTCAATAAGATGATGTAAGATAAAGAAAATAGAGCAAGGTAAAAGGAAAAATATAGTTTTATGAAAGACATTTTTCATCGATTATTATTAGGTAGTATTGGAATGATGTCATATGGTTTATTCTTTGGTTGGTCATCGCCTTCATTGCCTCTTCTGTTGCAAGACGAGAGTCCTATACCTTTAACGTTGCAACAGGCTACATGGGTCTCATCTATTTTCACCATGGGTGGTGCTATCGGTTCACTACTTTCTGTTTACATCGTAAACGTAATTGGCAGGAAGTCGACCTTCGCTTCCACTGCTATACCAGCAGTGATAGGATGGATGATGATTGCTTTCACGACATCAGTATGGGTAACTTATTAAATATCTTTTTATTACGTACAAGTGTAACAATGGAAATCGAAATCAAAGATTTTAAATGTTAAATAATAACATTTCAACTAAAATGACTTTACGAGTAGCACTTGAATTAAGCGTTTGATTTCTCTGAGATATGGCTAATACTTTAAGCGCGCAGTTAGATATTGGCTACCAGTTTTAGCTCTATCATACGTCCTATGTCAAACTTCTTGTAAAATGTAACTCGTAACAAGTGGTTCAGCAATGACTTTTCAATTGTCATTATTTTCTATTAATTTTGTGCTTCAGGTATTAATCGTGGGCAGATTTATTTGTGGATTAAGTACTGGATTTGGTTACACTTCGGCCACCATGTATATAGGTGAAATTTCGCCTGCTGACATACGCGGAATACTAACGTCCACGTTGACCGTAGCCGCGAAATTTGGTCTGTCCGTTAGTTGGACGATAGGACCGTTTCTCTCCGTGAGAGACTTCGCGCTTGTGTCGTCATTGATACCAGTTCTTTTCTTCGCGAGTTCGATATCATTACCGGAATCTCCATATCACTTAATGCGTTGTGGCAGACACCAAGAGGCGATAAAATCTCTCATGCAACTAAGGGGGTCCAAGGATGTTTCGAAAGAAGCGGACATCATCGACAAATCTATAAAATTCGATTTGGCTAACAACACTGGATTATGGGAGTTGATCAGCGTCTCCGGCAACCGAAAGTACGTTCCTATTTAATAATCGACAATTTTTTAACTAATTTTACCAAACCTCGAATGACATTGACTCGACCACGATGACGTTTATATATCTTATAACAAGGAAAAATTGAATTCTCGTTAAATGATGTTCTTTTAAAATAAATGCTTTTAATTATTTTCATTTCGCAGAGCGTTAGCGGTTGTGATGAGTCTGTTCATAATTCAACAATGGAGTGGGAGTTTGGCTATACTATCGTATGCTGAACTGATTTTCAACGCGACAAATAACGATTTTGAGGGGAAGTACGTGACCATGGTCCTAGGAGGTGTGCAAGTAGTGTTCACCGTGATCAGCGCGTCCGTGGTGGATCGCTACGACAGGCGGACTCTGCTCCTAATTTCCGCATCGGGAGTTTCTATCTCCACTTTCCTCATTGGTTTATTTTTTTTCCTTCAACATATGCAAATGGACGTCAGTGAGATCATTTGGTTGCCAGCAGCGGGATCGATACTCTATATTGTAATGTACTCCTTCGGCCTGGCCGCACTTCCGTTCACCATGATGAGCGAGGTTTTTCCTACAAATGTTAAAGCCCTCGGCAGCACGATTGGAATGCTGTGCTGCAATTCTTGCGCCTTTATCGTAACTCTCTCTTATCAGAATATCGTTGAACACGGCATACACATTGCGTTTTGGCTGTTCTCCTCGACCACTGTTTTAGGCATCGCTTTTATATATTTTTGCGTGCCCGAGACGAAGAGGAGAACGTTGCAGGAGATACAACAGCAGTTGCACGGATACAAATTGTAACGAAGATTGTAAATATTTTTCTATTATCGTTCATCGAGATCATTGTCAACATGTACATACAGTTAAAATGGAGATTCATCGATGAAGATTTAATCAAATGGTTTAGGAAAGAATAGACTAGTTTGTAATCAAGTCTTCGAATTTATTCACTAGATTATTAGAGTATGAAATAATGGAGTAATTTAACGAGATTTTCTATTATGTGTTTTTAGTACTCGAAATGACGTGCGAGACTTGTGACGAGACATAGGACGTTTCAGCGAGTAGGATGTCTACTCTTTGTTTATCTAAAAGAGGAATAGATAGGATAAGATAATTTGATGATTTTCTATGTTCAGCGTAATAAACAATTAGTTATCATTAAGTCACGTTTGATGTTTGTCGCTGAATTTTACAGATATTTTTTAATATTTCTGGCCGTGACATAAGGGAGGCGTGTTCCATGCTTGTTTCGCGTTATAGTGCAACGTTACACGGCTACAGAATGTTTCGTATACAGGACATGTATGGGCCACTTTGTTATCCCGTCCTCTTGCAATTAAAGCTCATCGCATTACAAACTTCTTTTAAATTTGTAACTTTAATATAGACCATTGAAAATTTTGGAAATGTTCATTAATCGTGTGAGAAAGATTTTGTACAGTCCATTAAAAAAAGGAGATTATTTTTCTGTTCCATACATTATCATCCGATTAGGCGAGTGGAATAATCGAGAGATAAATATCATTTATTAATTCTACCACTAATGGGTCAATACTAGCCTAAACATGCTGCAATGATTATGAATCATTGAAGTTAATTGACTTATTAGGTTGCATAAACTACTGTCTGATTTATACGGCTCGATACTACTCGGGCTAAGCATGTATAAGCCATTACTACTATCAGTGACCGCTTCCCGTTGATGATCTGACATAATAGTTATATCACGTGTAATTACATAATCCACAAATTATTGTTGAAACTTGTTTTCATATAGAAATTATTTTTCATTAAATTATTCGTAGGTAGACTGCTTCACACACCGACAAACATTGTATTTATTAAATAATTCCACAATGACACGCGATGGAATGATTTCCTGATTATATAAACGAATCGTTACCTGCACGCGTTAGTACGAACAGTAAGCAAATATTTATCCATCAAAACAGAAATAACACAGTCGAATAACGTAAATAATATATTGTGTTGAATGAAACCAGAGTTAATGGAATTTATATTCGATCTGAAGATACTAATTACACTGTCCAACAAATTTTAACTTTCTCTTTAATCTGTAATATTCATTAGTTTATTCTTGTTGACTTTGTTTTCCTGAAAATGAATTTGTAGCCAAAACTTTTCTATCACCCTCAGTTTTCGAAAATTGTTAGTTTTTAAAAACACTCCCTTTTTGGCTAAGATAATAGGTATATGTTTTCACTTACTTTTTTATACAAATCGCAAAAGGTAAGAAATTTTTTTAAATCAAAAATATTTTTTTAAATCATAAAAATAAATGTTTTTTTATGTTCTGTTTTCATGTTGAGTTCACCTAATACAAAATTGCAAATTTGGCAGATGGATTCGTGAAAATGTGCTTATTTCTATTTTAAATTATATTTTCTAAAGTACAATATAGAATTAAGTACAATGTACAATTAAGAACAAATTAATATCGAAAATTATAAGAGAAAGTTCACCAAGGGTCTGCCTTCCCGATGCAATCATAAGAGTTCATAAATTCATCGCAGAAATTGCGTAATTTGTTAATTCTCTACTACAGAATCAATTTATTAGAATGTATTAGGAGCACATAACCAGAGTTAGTAATCCTATTCAATTGAAATCAGCGCCATCTATGATTTTGGCCTCGAAGCTCGGATTTAGTATCAGGAACACAGATACGTGAGGAAGTCGTCTAAAAGCAGATGGCGTGATAGACGAGGACAGATGGTGGTTAGAAAAGGATAGAGTAGCTTAGGCTGCGAAAATTAACAAATTACACAATTTCTGCGATTAATTCATGAACTTTTATAGCTGCATAATAAAGCTGAAGCTTTGAGCAACATTATTCAATGAACATTACAGATTAAAAATCGCTTTGAACATTGTTATTTCTCGGTCTCTTGTGTCTGACGTTAATTAACGTCCAAGTAACGAATGGCGTTATCTGCACTGTAAATTGCCTGTGTACATGCTACTGTATATGGTTAGTATCGCCAGAACGTATAAAAGATGGTTATAGCAGAGATATTCCTCTATTTGTGTCTCGATTACGCGTTACCATCCTGCTTTCAGCTCTTCAAAACGAGAACATTTGTTCCGAATATTGGGCAAGTAGGTCCTCGTGTCGTTACAAAATGAGATAAATTCGATATTATCGATGATACTGGGTCAAGTTCATGAGAATTTCTTCAGAGTTCAGAAAAATATTTCAACTTTATGTTATTCCTGTAAATCGTGTGTGTCTCGTAAATGAAGTACATTTCACCCATCTTTCGTGTTCATATTTTCACCTGGTTATGTCGGACGTAAGTCGTTAAGCCGAGACGTGGTAATTAAAAAGTTTGCTGGAGTAGTCGTTATTGCGGCTCGTTCACCTTCGAAATGTCCGTGAACGAAAGACCAATAGAGAACTTTTATCGATGCAATTACAACTGTCCCGAACCGCAATTTTATTTCCTTGTTGGAACGTTCGAGCAATCTCACGTGGCAGTTGCAAACGTGTCAAATGCAAGGCTTTACTTGGCGACTTCTGCGGTTAAGAACAACGTGTACGATAAAAAATTATAACAAAACGTAAATTATAACAAAGATAATTTTTGCGACAAGACAATGCGTTTGGCTCAACTCACCGTGGGTCTGTTTCAGGGATGAACGTGTTCAATGATACCGAAATTATTGCTCGACTTTCCCTCCGACATTGCTACGAACGAAGCTTCTTGGATGGTGTCTTTATTGGAGCTTGGAATGGCTTTCGGATGTTTCATCTCGCTACTCATCGTCGATCGTGTGGGCAGAAAAATCTCGATATTGCTGACCGCCATCCCTGCCCTTCCAAGTTGGTTACAGATAGTATTGAGTTCGTCGATTTTGGTAAATACGAGTTGCACAATTTTTTAGGATATTTATTTATCAAATAATTACTCACGAACTTTTCTAATACGTTCGAGAAGCACACGTGGTCTTCCAATATTTGCACGACGACTCGGTTCCATGTTTACCATGTTAACCTGCGTATCACGTATGCGTATTTCTCAAACGTGATTTTTGCTGTTTCCAGAATCTATACGTGGTTGGTTTCATAGGCGCCACTGCCAGTGGCATAATTTTCACGAGTGGTTCGATGTTCGTGACAGAGGCCTCTCCTCCTCACGTTCGCGGTGCCTTGTGCAGTTGCTTCGTATTAATGGATTATTGCGGTGATCTTCTGGACTACGTAATCGACTCATTTGGCACTGTGCAGCAATATTCTTAAGTGGCGATGTCGTTAGCGATGCTGCAATTCACGATGTTTGTCTGATTCCCGGAGTCCCCTTATTACCTGCTGCGACGAAAGAGATTCGGAGCCGCCATGGATTCTCTGATATTCTTGCGTGGAACTGCAAACGATGCCGAAGAAATGGATATGATTATGAGGTCAGTGGAGCCTGATCCTTGGAGCAATGGACTCTTGTCATCCATCTTTTATTTGCTCTCTGAGTCAGGTAAATTGAATTTCATTTTTCATATAAAATTTTCGTACATCTTCGTTCGTGGATTCTTTGCTCACGTCAATGGTAGATTACAATACCTTAAAGTAAAAAATAAAATTAATATTAGATTTAATTATACTATAAAGAATCTAACGCATTTATTTGACTCTCATTTGTGAAGATAACTGACCTTTTTACCAGTGAACGTGTTGTGCTTTCAAACTTATAGATCTTCGTAACTTGTAGCTAATGACACATCGGTTATTTGATGTTTCAGGAGGAAAAAATGCAATTGTATTTAGTGTGTGTGTAATGACGGTGTAAGTGTTCTCAGGCTCGGTTATTGTCATCATTTATGGCCAAACGGTCTTAGAGAAAATTCAGGATGTTCAATTGCAAGGGGCATACATTGGTATTGCCTTAGCAACGGTGCCTCTGATCTCTTATCTCGCGTGTATCAGTTTAGCAGATCGTTTGGGAAGAAAACCTCTGATGATCATATCCAACATAGGTGTTTCCAATTGCAGCTCCCTCCTAGCCCCTTACCTCTACGTGCAAGAACTCATCACGAATAGTATGAATCTGCAAGTGCTGTCTTTATTAGTGTAGTGAACGTCTCTTTAGGATTAGCCAGCTTGCTTTTCATAGTCACGAACGAAATATTTCCGATCTACGCGAAAATAACGTGTGTGCGAAAACAATGTGTGTTTAGCCACGAGGAGACGTTGTTGCCGAGAAATAAGGACAGCGTCGATTAAAAAAGCACATAAATTATTTATTGAAAATGTTAGAACAGCCTTTTAAAAGTCCATTTCGGAAACTATACAAACAGGTACTGAAACACGAAGAACTTTACAGTAATATGTACATTTAAGGACACGAACAGTCTGGAAATCGATATTCAGTTCGAAATGCATTTATCTCGCGGTGAGTAAATTTCGAGCAGTGTAATCCGTAATAGAAATCAAAGAACAAGCATCTCGATTCGACGAGCGTTTTGCGAAAAAATTGCAGTGTAAACAAGAGAATGTTCTCTTCTCGCTCGAAAATACAGATCTGTCTAAAAATGTATAATACAAAAATATGATACATAAAATATGCGATCAGCTTCACACGTTAGTCGTACACCCCTGTGCTCTTTCACAGATACAGAGATATTTTTCCAAAGTTCATTTCGCAATATTTTCGGAAGCTGAATTAAACTGACCAATCTCCGAAGTGCTTCTAGAATAGTTGAAGCGTCCATTTTCAATTGAAAGATCAATGTTCGTTACCGCGGTGACAGAATAGTAACCGAATGGTGTCAATATTGATCGACAATTGTGCAAACGTTTGTCATTACATTCGATTTGGTCGCCTTTGATTCTGTTCCCCTCTATTTTCGTGATAATCGAAAGAACGTAATGTCTCGATTTATTCTCACTCGGCATTAAAACGTCAATCACGCGCGAATCTCAACCTGCTTCGAAAAAGACGATGTCACAACGGTTGACAAATTTCTACGAGGCGACGCTTCGTAAAGGTCGAGTTCGATCGATTTTCCACGACAAATAGCTCGACTAAATGTAGTACTATCTTATTCCGGTAAATATATCGCGAGAAGTTCGAAGAACCATTGGGTTGTTGGATCTGTAGATTCTGTCGGTTGGCAACTCGCGAAAGTAAAGCTGGCGATCGATCAAACTGACGATACAACGAATTGGTCACCGCTTTGAGTGAACCGACACAACGACGGTGTTTGACCTCTGGTTTCTTGTTTGGACCAACTTGTACTCGAACACTTCTCTTATGAGGATAAATTATTCATTGGTGGAACCATTCGCGAGTCGAACAAATTTGTTCGACAGCAAAAAGAACCGGCAGTTAACTGGCAAGAGGAAGATCTTGTCATTAGCGTTTACGTCAACCACAGAGACAGTCTCTGGACTTCAAGTTTGTTGGCTATAGCTACTTTTTTGAGACTCAAGAACCTGATCGATCGTCGTGGCCTCCTCGAGCTTCAACGAGGCCGACGATGTCGTGTGTTCGTTCTCTGTTTCCATTTTAAGTACCAACGCCCCGATTGGAACTTCTGAAACATACACGTACACATGTATACAGTGAAAACGGGATGTTTCAAAATTATAGCTAATTCGCTTAGCGTGGAAATGGAAGGGTATGAGTTAGGCGAAGTGGTGTCAGCAAGGCATACACGGGGAAAGCATAGAACACACGCGTCACACGCGGAGGAATATGATTTCAAGATCAAAGGTACATTTTCCCTGGAATCATGTTCGAGTAAGTGATAAAGCAAATTCCGCTGATGTTAACTCGTTCGTACATGGCCGCTATGCTTTAGTCACCGAGCACTGGCCACTGTAAATAACAATCGAAACGCTCTGTGTCCTGACGTTTACCTAAAATAACTACCCTTCTCTTCAATCGATTTGTGATTAACCAATGTTATGGAACTTACTAACAATATGATTATCCGATCAGTTCCCGATAATACAATAAATTGGAAATTTATAACAACTAGGCATAGCATCTCGAATGATTTGGTATTTCTAAATAATTAATATTTATTTGACGATGAGAAACGATTTGACGCGATTCGATACGATTTGTTACGAAGAAATATTCACTTTTTGAATTATAATGCAGGAGAGTCGTGCAGTTGCATGAGAAAGCAGGCGTGCACTTACCGGATTTTCCTTTCTGGTTGTCGGTTGCCATGTCAGGGAACTGGACGTGTTTCCTGGACGGTCGTCCTGTGATAGGACTCTTCTCCGAGGACAGGGTGTTCTGACCGGTTGTAGGACTCTGCGTCGGGGTTGCGGTTGCTTTGGTTTCATTGTTAGTTGCCGCCCTTCGAGAACTCAGGCAAGACGTGGCGGTCGTAGTCGGCGGCTGAATAGCGTACCTCACTGCTGGAACCTTCAAAGGCCACTTCATAAGATCCATTTTATAATTAAATTTCAACGCGATGACCTTTTTTTTCGAGATACGATAACGAGTAAATGAAGTCTTTTCAGTTTTTCCTTGAAACTTTATCGCGAGTGGAGAATAAGTGGGTTTGCTGCACAAGAGCAGCCGCGAGTGGAGTTTAATCGAAATTGGAGATCGTTGGGGATAATCTGGTCCACATTGGTACGAAGATTGCAAACGAACTTTCCTTTATGGTATTCGAATTAAACTCGATGGTCGCGATTCGGGACAAAAAATTGAGAACGAACCACTCGTGGTATCGTACTTTACAATCGAACGAATATTGAAATTGAAGTCGATGTTAGTCCAAATTTTCCAGATGTCAGTCACTCTGAATGACGTTTACTCGAGCGACCTTCGTTACGGGGACGTCGCGACGTCAAACACCCTGCTAAGGGAGATCTAATGCGAGCTCGATCTGCACACCGATGTGCACGTGTGTGCGTGTGTGTATCATCATCGGTAACACAATCTACATTAATCATTGTTTGAAGGTACTATCGAGTTCCCTCTTTGGATCGATGCGTGCGTTGCTGCACACAGCTGTTCGTATTGCCACGACTTGATGAATAATTTTAATTCAAGGAATTCAATTACACGTAGTCTTTAATAAATCATCAAACGTGATTATCGGTGGTTTTTGTTTGCTATGCATGGTTATCGATATTTTCATGAGGAATAATATACCAATAGTTAATTACCATTAGTTAACGCTGTGGAATACTTTGCAATGATTTCTGATTCTACCACGTTTAATTTTCGTTTGGAGTTTTTTGAAATAAATTGTTGGCAACTGTTTAACAATCGTTGCAGGGATAACATCGTATGCAAGGATATATCTTATCGAAATAGAGAGCATGGTCTCTTAAATTGCAGAGATAAGGATTTAGGACAGTTCGCTTTCGCAAAATTGCAATGCCATTTCAATATAGTAGGAACGTTTCGACATACGTTGCATTATCTTTCCATAAACGATCTCCATGTGGAATTTTTAACAACGGATCTGAACGAAAACTAAAGTCGATATTTTGTTACTTTATCTATATAATCCTTCCTTTTCGTCACTTGTGATTCTGTGTCAAAATATCGGAGCGAGTAATGTCAGCCCGAGAAAATCATAGAACAACGCGAAAAAAAGAAACAACGATGGCAGATATGGACTCAGACTGACAGACAAAAAGCTTCCATTTGGATAATAAGATTGCCTGATATCGATGTTCCCGAAACCTTTTTATGCTCGAACTCTGATAATTTTCTTGGGAAAGCAGAATTTCCGGCGTGGGAAGACACAATCGGATTTCTCTCACAAAGAAATTCTTGTTGCCATTTTTCGTAACATCCATTAGGACATAATGGAAGTAACATTCTCGCAGACTTCCCACAGTCGTTGCTTAATAGTAGTCCAGATAATACATCTCACTGTATTCTAATAACGATATCTCAGATTCATTTATGTACTCGAATTGGCACGTGAAATTCATATGTCCTACACGTTTCGTACAGCATGTATTTTTTCTTTCTAAAATGAAATGATAAGATGATAAGAAAGAGAGAAAAAAAATAAATAAAAGATAAATAAAAAAGGAATAAGAGAAGCTTCTTCTTTTACTGTAGTCACTACTGCATTTTCATACTGCTGAATTTTCATTACTGCCAAAAGGCTTGAAGAATTTAAAGCTTTGTTGACTAAACTTTAATTCTTATCCATTTTCTACTATGAGATGTACTGGTATCCATAATTTTGACGATTCTCGAATTGTATATTAAAAATTGGACAATACAGTTAGGTAGTACACTTAACTTTTCGTCCCTTATTACGGTCCTCTTTCCGTTGAGAGACTCTCAGAATACTGACCCTGTATTCGTAGTCGTCCGCGGCCGTTCCTCGACCGGCCATATATTCTTGATACTGGGAGATCACGCACAACAGGGAATATATCTGAAGTAAAGGATACGTGGAATATAGCCCATAAGCCGGCGCCTGGTCATCTGATAACGTAACACATTCTTTCTACCTATGTTTCATAATCGAAAATAAAAATCAACTTTGAGAATCATGGAACCAAAAAAAGCAAAAAAAACTGTGGCGAAGCAATGATAACGTGGCATAGCATAGCATTGAATTTGGATGCTGCATCGTATGCAAAAAGCGTATTTGGAAAATGAATTAGGAAAGTATAAAATATCGCCGATTGCACTAAAATATCACGATTAATGATCATAATTAATGGAAAAATTGTGGAGCGACTGCTCTTTGAAAATTGAAACACGAAGCCTAAATATACTTACGTTCAGACACAGAAGGAAGAAGTTCAACGTGTATAGCATCACTTTTGTTGGGTCAAAATTGGACTGAAACAGAAGCGTGATAAAATTAAATGTTGATTTGGTGAACGTGTGGTTGGTTCGAACGATACATGTAGTACGTTCATAAAATAAGTCAGGCCTAAAATTAAGCGCAGGTGCCCCAACTTCCAAAATAGTAATTTTAGATATTTATAGAGAAACAAGGCCTTTGGGCTTCAATCGATGCTGTATGACATCAATTTGGAATGGCTCCATCTGTAACCGAGGTAACTATTAAACAAAAATCTACTTATAATAATTTATAAAAAGTTAAAGTTTTTTTAAATGTTCAAGATATTGAACAAAATTTAGTAACAGACGAAAAATTAGTAGTAGGTGTTAATAAAATAAATCGAAATCACTATTTAGCTTTTAACTTATCACGGTTTGTATGACCGTTTTTTAAACTTTTGATTAAAAATTTTGCATTCAACATTATTGCTTTCGTCATTTGATTCTACAATTTTTCCTGTAATATAAACAATTTTTCATTACCTATATATCTCTTATTTACAATTTACATTTTTTACATTTTCTATTTTTCTATTTTATATATTTCTGTACTTTTTGTATATTTTCGACATTACTTTGTATATTTCTTTATATGTTACATTTTACATTTCTTCACATAGTTAAAGCTTTCTAGGAATTTCTTTTTTCCTACAGCTTTTCCGATTTTTCATGGTAGTTCATCTTGCTTATCCTCATAATTATCATAAAGGATGGACTGTAACGATACAGATTTTTTCGAATAATCAACGAATCTTTAGAGTTATATGGAGGCAATAAAGATTTAGTATCACTTGCGTCAAGTTTATATTGTATGGATTGTAGACCGGCTATTTGATTTCCTCTGGCGAGTGGATGGAGTTAACACAAAAGCCTTTCATGAGAAGTAAATTTACAGCGCACGTTGTTTGCATGTTATATTCCCGTCTTTTGAGCAAAGGACCACGATGGATAAAAAAGACATGTTTTAAAATTCTAACCCGATTGACATCGTATAATGGAACCTTTGATTTTTCTTTATTTTCATAACAATAAGACTCATCGAATGTAATACTCACGAAAAGTCAATTTCAATTTCGATGCGAATCGTTTAATGAAACAATCAGAAAAAGCAATTTGAACCGATTCATGACGAAATTCTATCGCAGACGTCACAAATTGATTATCGCCGTGTAAAGGTAATCAAAAACATTCCTGTCAATTCCTGATAGCTCGTTGGGAATTTTATTACAACCAGACAGGTCGTATCGAAGCGAAAACTGCGGAGATGAAAAAAAAAGAACAAATCATACACGAATGTAAACGAAGGTAAAATGAGAAAGGAAAACAGTGCAGTTGCAACAGTTCTGTATTACACAACGTATTCAACAGCGTCATTTTCAATGTCGACGACCGAGCACTCGATTTCTCGATACGCCTACCTTCTCTTCATTAATTAATTCTATAATTACATTAATCTCGTAATGCCACGCGGTTACGTATCTTATCACCTATGTCATCTAATATTCGAAAAAGAATTAGGAACAGCGTTTCTACGATTACTATTACGAAAAGATTGTTTACTAATTATTTAGTGACAACGTAATCTATAGACTCGCGTGCGCATCAACGGGACAATGCGCATGCTCCAATTAACTCTTCTTCGAATGAACTTTGCGAACAGATTTTGTTTTGTTTGATTCGTCTGCGTCGCGAGGGCGCCACGAAACGGGTCGTTAAATAGGGGGACAGCTACGCGAGCCAAGGTTTATTGTAGTTCGTGTAATTACTAGCAGTGCCTTGCATCGATGTTACCGTTCCTCGTTAGCGTTTCCGTTAGTAGAGAGGTTATCGGTACAGGACGCGCGTTTATAAAGTAAAAAGGTACGTGCCTGGTCTTTTATTTTTGTAACGATAGTTTGATGGTCATGTGAAAAAAGAAAAAGAAAAAAAAAGAAGAGAGGAAAACGAGAGGAGGAACGAAAAATACTTCGTTCCCTGTGTTTTTACTTTAGCCCGACGCGCAAACAGTAAGGACGTTAATGAAGATTGCGCGGTACCATGGTACAGTGCCGTCGGATGCGCTGTTATTCCAGACTGAACTTTTGCATCTGGCCTCCCGGTGCACGGAAATACTTGGCATGTGACTCCCGTCACGTGCATTTCCTCGTGTGCATTATCGTTTACATGTCTGCACTCTTATGTCCCCGTATCGTTGCATATTTATTCGTTTCCATGCATGGGGATTATGTCCTTCAAGATACACTTCGCTGCGCTGATTCGCCTTATTTACATATCCACGATAAGATATATAACGTAGGTATTATTTTAATGGAAAATTAAGGTTTGTCATATGCCCTGGTGAATTTTAACTAGTTGCATTTGAATCTAATTTATTTTCCTGACTTTATCCATGTTTTTTTAATTTGCTAACTTTTCTTGCTATTAATTTAGTCGCAATGAAGACACTATGTTGAGGTTATGAGTATGAACTTGATTTGCATAGATCAACGACGTAATTACGTACTACCACAATATACACCAAGTGATATAATACAATTTACTCAAGAATTGATCTCCTCCGGTCACAGGTGGCTACAGGAATCTCAATTAAGGAGTTCGCTATAGGTTAAGGTACCTAGCTAACCCTATTACGATACCGCAACGACATTAGGGCTTAATATTATCTTCATGAAAATGCAGTAACGATTGAAGCTCAATTTGCATGTTTGTCCCTGTTCCAGGTAGTGAAGCTAGATATGCAGATTTCGTTACGGAGAATAAAATAGAAAATACCACGGTCAATTAGTCGCTTTCCAATTAACATGATTCCTAGAATATCGAGTTTAGTTTTCAAAGATCACGATTTTCAGCTATTTTTATTGGCATTTTAATTACAACCTGACACTTTTAAAACTCGTCACGTTAAATTCGCGAAGCATCATTTTCGTTCAACAAAATTCCTGCTTGATACGGCTAAATTGATGAAACTTTAATATTAATTGCACGGCGAAGTATTTCGAAATTTCAAGGTACACATATTTTAATTGCATGTACGATCAAATTATTTCATTCATCGTAATATTAAGATTTTAATTTGACACATAACTGATGTTAGCTAAATTGGAATTAAAATGGAGAAGCATACGTAATAATGATTCTATTTAAACAAAAGTCAATGTTAACTTTACCATAAGCAATTATGAAAATAAAAAGCCTGGAACAAGTTATTTTGATCATTTTGATAATTCTAGTGTTAAAGGCATTCAAATATTTCGGTTTCACCAATCTAAATTAAATAAATTCGTCGCATGCAAATATAGAACACTTTGGTTCTTCATAAATGTCAAAATATGTTGAATGCGTGACTGTGAAATAGATTGCCTTTTTAACGACGCCAAAACGCTTTGCATTCATGAATATGAAATAAGATCGTTCGAATATCTCAATGCATTCCAAACTCGTAGAATAGCCAAGGGCTGCTATGTTCATCGAAATATTTCAGGTATACAAGTTTTAAATAACATATTCGCTTAAACGTGTCGCAATTTTCCAGGCTCGCTAACCCGGAACACGTGGGCTTTCCAGGAAAGGATCTTAAAAGCTCCTTTTCAAACACACAAATGCAAAGCACGCGAGTTGTTCTACGTCACGAATACGGTGTACATAAAGTAGGTTGCCTCTTTAAAGATGTCAAAACGTGGTGGACACGTGAGTGTGCGATAAGTTGATGCTTCAAACACAAAAATCACGGGACAAAAGCACTCGACGTTCTCGAATCATGTAGTTGAACGACAGTTCAACCCTTTTAGTAATGACCACAGAGTAAAACGCTGCAGCTGTGTGGAACGTGCACGTGTAAAGACGAAGAAGGAAGAGGTAAAAGAGGAGAAAGAGGAAAATGTCATCGGAAAATTTGGTTTGCTATACGATAAACGATCCATGTTTCTTCTTTCACGTAGTGTCACGAATTCCTTGGGACAGAAAAATTTGCGCCAGACAGTGGTAATTGCGCGACGATATGTCGTACGAGAAAGTACCCGGCGTAATCCCCGGATGGCATTAAATGCCCCCGCTTGCGTGCCTGTTTGAAACTCGAACACTGTATAAAAGTTGTAAGCCGTGGAGGGATACGAATTTAAAAATAGGCGGAAGTTTGGAGAGTTGGTGGAGAACTTCGGAGGTTGAGCGGGAAACGAACAAAGTTTGCCGGGGAGCCGCGATTTTATCGATCGATTCGGACATCGAGCTTGTTGAGGAAAAATTACAGCGTACCCGAGCGATTCCCCGAGAGTACTCGCCTGTTAAAAAACGCGCCGGGGTCGACATTCTGTGACGTAACGTGAGCTAGGTTGGGCTTGATCCAAAATTTCTTGTTCCAATAAAGCGACGAGATAAGGGGAATGTTTCTTCTTCGAATGAAAGGAGTTCCTTTCATATTCAACTTTCCGATGTTCCAAGAAGTTCTCATTACCCGCAGTGGTCGTAAGTTAAAAGTGGGAACTTAAAAACGAAGCTCGATGCAGAACTGAGTCGAAGAATTCGTAATCGAAATTTTCCATGGCGGATAGCGTCGATAAGATGCGCGTTATCGAAGCGCGTAAAACCGATCCTAGCTTCCGAGAAGCGATTTGCTTTGAAATTGCATTCTTAGTTTTCATTTCGAATCGTTTCGTCGAGAGCGTTTCTCTGGTTCGTGTTTTCCGCCGCAAAAGAAGCATCGGGATGGTATCTTTCTATTAGATGGGTGTTTCCACGAGCAGAGGCAACGTAATTATCGCAGACATATCCTTTTTCCACGCGAACGAGGAATCATACTGTTTGTTCTCACGAAAAGCGGGCAAAAGAACGCGAAGATATCGTGAATCGAGAGTGCTGAAGGAACTTCGCCATGTATCTTCGACATGAGACACGTAATAGACTTCTTTTGGATAATTTTATAAAATAAAGTAGTTTGTAACTTAATATGATGTAAAATAACTTTTAATATAATGTATATAGTAGTTATTTAAAATTGCTATATTTTTTATTCGCGTCTTTATTGGCACAAGAAATATTGTTGTTATTACTGTATTTTTAGTATGGATAAAAAGAGTTGTACTTACGGCAGAGACAAACAAGTACAAGGAATGTGCCACATCGACGAAGCAGATCGTGATGACGACGATAATCCAAGGTACGAGAAAGACACGTTGATCCTGAAAGACATCCATCACAAGTGAGCAGAGATAAATGGGAAAAGAGAAACCTGGTTTCGAGAGGGTCGTTTAACAGTCCTCTTCCAACTTTTATATCTTTTTTTCTCTTCTTTATTTCATGCTCTTTAGAAACATTCGATCCGACTCGTTGCACCTCGTCATGGTAAGAGGAGAAACACTGTCGAGGTGAAGTCTATTCAGAGGGTTAAGAGTTTAGACGAGCTCTCGACAGGTAAGGGTGGGAAGTTTCTCGTTCGTGTAACAGAACGACAATTGTTTCGTTCTCTCTTGTAACTGCAAGTTGCCTTGTTAAACTGAAGTAACAGTACAATTACGTACTGGTGTGTAATATTTACCGTTGTAACGATTATATATTTCATCTATCGTAATTTTTTAATATTATATAAATCATCTTTCTCCATTTTAGAAAATTCTGAACAATAGACACGAAGGGTAATTTTTGAAATTAAAAGAACGTCTTGCCTTTCATTATTCCCCGTTTGATATACAATTATGACACGTTGTACAGGTTCATGAAGTTTACCTTTGTTTAACAGATTTAAATAATTTCGTGGAAAGTTCGTGCCATCCTTTGATTCGCTATGTTATTATACAATGCTATTGTTTAATATACGAACGTGTGGAATTAGATGTTTCGTAAAAAGACAAAGAGAAACTCTGGTGGAAGTTCGCCAAAATTAGACGAAATGACAATCTATGAAGAAAATCGAGGAAAGCAAAATAGCAGGTCTGGTATCATTCTGAGGCAACACCACCCAATTGTGTGGTTCTTTTTATAAAGTCTCGTAAAAATGCGACACGTGAGATGACGCTATGTTTACGTAAGTCCACAAAGAAACGATATTTCCTCTTCAACTGTATTCCCGCGACAGAGGTGTTTCGCAATGCGATTCAAATAGACTGAATTTTCCATAAAAGTATCTTTACGTACACCAAGATATTTAAGAATATGAATATCTAATGTGAATACATTTAATCCCGTACAATATAAAGTACTTATATTTTAGTTAAAGGGTCAAATGACACAAAGTATGTCCCATTATGTGAATTTTTATTGGAGAGCATAAATCAGTACCTACGATTTTTCTTCGAACGTATTTGTACGTTGAAATGAACAAACGCTTAATCATTTCTCTCAGAGTAACGAGCAATAGAAAAATTCGGGCGACCATACCAATACGATAGTATGAAAGTTCTAAAAACCCATGGAGAGCTTTGTTTCAAACACACCCTACACGAGTATTGATTGAATAAACGACAATGTAAGTAAACAATTAAAAAAAAATAAATAAATACATTCAAAATATAAAAAACGAACCCAAATACGCGAACAAACAACACTAAAAGGTAAATAATCCAGGGAGAGCTTTGTTTCAAACACACCTACACGAGTATTGATTGAATAAACGACAATGTAAGTAAACAATTAAAAAAAAATAAATAAATACATTCAAAATATAAAAAACGAACCCAAATACGCGAACAAACAACACTAAAAGGTAAATAAGCAAAGTCACTATCCAAAATGTTTTTAGAGCATACAATAAAGGCGCGTACTCCATTAACGAGTCTGACTCGGAAATTCGTGAGAAAACATCGTAACTCGAAACGCATTAAAAATGATGGATGGTGGATGACAAATAAGCTGACAAAGATGGTGAAGGCGTGAACGTCTGGTGTGGAGATCTTGGCGAAATGTTGTCACGGTTATTCATGGACGGTTATTATCACGAAACAAACGCGGCAGCTTTGCCACGGAGTGATTAATGAATGGAAGGATCGATAAGAAGAAGGAGCCGGTGAATTTAGCGGAGAGAATCACGATTTTGAATCTATTTGGTATTCTGCGCGGCGACGATAATGCGAAACACCAATTAACGTCACAGCTATGGGCAAGTAATTAGAAAATTAATAGTAGCGGCGATATAAGAACCATACTCGTTCTCCACGGAATGTTAAATTTATTTGCTCATTATTTCGTGCACGAAGGGTGAATTGAACCGTCTTTCGAGTATGCGATTAATCACTATTTCAGACGTAATCATAAATACTGCAGCCAGAAATGTTTGTTTCGAACTACCAAACGTTATTTTCAAGCCTCTTGTACGTAACTGGTCACATAAGTCATTTATTGGATATTCGAGTATGCGATTCTCATTCTCATAATGAACTTCAAAAGTATCAAGAAACTTTAAACTGCCAAGTAGAGTAAGCTGAACTAGAAAGGTAGAGAGCTTCGATTGAAACAAGATATATCTATTTTTCATAACTCATGATATTAATTCTTTAAATAGATATATGTCCAGCTCGATTTTTGCTAATCATCAAGAGTTTGAACGAGAAAGATAAATTTAGAGAAGAAACTACCAAGAAGAACAAGGCATGGACGTCGAACCGATCACGTTGCGCTTGTGTTTTACGTAAGAGAGCTGTTTGCAACGTGAGTGATAGTCGTGTCGACTGCACGCGAAAAGCGTCGATAAATCAGGGCCGTGACGAAAATTGATATTCCCATCCGGTTTTACGGACGTACCTCCGCGTTCAAAGACGCACCCGGTTCGGGGAGCATGTACGGTTCTGCTTGATGGATGCGCCATCCAGGCTGCATCGAGATTAACTCGTCGGGCTTAATTGCGTTAACGTATCACGGATCGGGCGGAATCCACTTTGAAAAGTTAGTCTCTCTCCGGGGCTAACAGAAACATTTCATCGCCGCTCTGTAAATCCCCTACCGTGTACCTTCTCTCGCGAATTGATTTCTAAGTTTGATACGCAGTGGTGCGGCAACGAAGTAAAACCAGGCTGCATAAAACCTTTGGAAAGTACGCGCAAAATAACCTGTCTTTTTTTTTACTTCCTTCGACAGATCCCTTGAGGGCGGTATAGATCGTTTGCAGGGTTGGAAAAAGTTCTTGAAAGTCTTTGAAGATTGTTAGTCCTTAATGGCTTCTACTTTCGAACACGAAAGTGTAATTACGCAGTGGAACTCATTTTGCGAAAAATATGATTTTATGAAGTTATCTGTTTTGAGATTTTTAGGGTGTGTTAAGATTAAACTCGTGTGTCGAAGAAAGTAATCGAATGTTGTTTTTGCGATAAGCTATTAAGAGATCATTTTGTAGAAGAACAGCTTGCAGGATGCTTGTTATCTGCGATATTAAAGTTTCTTGCCTGTGATCAATTGTTAAGTCATTACTTCACGAAATGACGAGCTATTTAATCGTCGTGAAGGATCAGTGAAAGGTATTAAGGGTGTTTTATCGAAGTATCTATATGAAATGGTTGCACGAAAAAAGATTTGAATTTGTATAGTGTTCTCAGGGATAGTTAACGAAGATTCAATTCGATCACGAGACAAAACTTTAGAAGAAATTTCGCGGTTGGCCAATGTCAGCCCAGGGGTGTTGGCTTATCTTGCTCATAAATTCCGTGCACCCTCGTTGACTAGATACGACGCGAGGTATTTCTCTTCCACCATTTCCTCTTTCTTCCACAGATTTCAAGGGTTGGGACAATAAATCCTTTGATGTAAACACAAATCCTAGTTTCTTTTATCATTGGTGTTTCTTCTTTGCAGATAATACGTTTTTGTCTTTCGTAGACACACAGTGTAAATTATAACGAATACATCGACAAATCATTGTATTTAAAATTTTTTAACAATTTTATTCTATTACTTTCTAAATTTACTATTTCTATAGCAGTGAGTACAAAATGCAGATAGGAAATACAAATGAACCTCGAGGGAAAAGGTTTTCCTGAAAACGATGTTTTCCTCGACCCGATAAACTAGAACTTCGTTTCTATCTTTCGATTCGTGGTTTTTCCGTATCAGGAAACTCGTGGTCATACTTCCACGAGAACGATGATAAAAATTGCATCGCGTTGCCCCGGAGGGCGGATTTGTCCGTCATTTATGATGAACTAGTAGGACGACCGGTACGAAGACGATGGGACATCGAATGCAAGGGATAAAAAATTAAATTACGCTGTAAGCAAACTGACACTTTCTTCAAAACATTTTTCAAAGGCTTTAAGATTTTCTTTGAAAAAAGAGAACGAACATCTTATAAAAATAAGTTCTTCGATTAATATGCACGCATCTTTTAATTCCACTTGCAATTTCACATTAATTTCTTGCGAAAAAATGCAAGTACCTATAGTGGGAGGTAAAAGTAAAACTTTCGTGCCAGAAACAATTTTAATTTAATTAAAAATTATTCAGATCTGTTTCCACAAGTGCTATTTTAAATTCCACTCCCTTTTTTCTTTTTATAATCAATTCCCAACTACCTGCGCTTCTCCATTTGCGACTAAATCCGAAACAAGAGGACGCAAATCCTATTCTTTTATTCCACGTCGCTTTTTTTAGTTCTGTGACCCCTTTTCACGTTCATTTTCGAGATATATACGTATTCTTTCGATGTTGGCAGCAACGATTGAACGTTACAAACGTGCTTTAGGACCCCTGAGTCTTATTCCTGTTAACTACTTCTACTTCGTGTAAGGAACACGTGCCATGGCAATAAACAGAGTTATGCAACATTCAGAACAGGGTTTCGCTATTAACTCTGGTGTGAGTGCAATATACATGTGCTTGGTGAAGAGTTAGGTGAATGATGTACTAGGGAAACACGGGACTGGTAGACTCCAAGGATTTAATTAAACGATCAAAAACTGTTATTACTATAACAACGTAATATAATTATTACTACATACTTCATAAGTAATAAAAAAAAGGAAAAAGATATTTATTCGTTGTGTGATCATTTTTATGATCATTGACTGCTAATATAATTAGAAATAAATAATAACAGGATGAAAATATTCCTGTATAGATGTAACCTTAGAAATGGTATGAAACGTTATCCACCGACGTTAAAGCACAATTTTTCATAGGTACCAAGAAAAGTTGGCAATTTCTAAGAATTTCAAACTCTGTAATATCGATTCTAATTTTCAAAGCAGTTTCAAAGAACCCTCATTTTCTGTACTGTTATAGAAACTAAAGTGGTTTAATATATCGATTTTGCTTCAGGTTTCAGTAGCTTATGAAGTATCGATTCTGTTTCGATAAATTCTTTACCTATGTATTATTAATTTTGTAGTGCATATACCTTTTTATATCCTAGTTATTTTTAATCGATAACCTCTAGTTAACCTCGTTCTTTATATCGTACACATATCCCCATATTGAAAAGACAGTACAATTTTAACGCGTAATAGAAAATTATACGATGAAAGTTTTTATCGATATATCGATGGAAATTAATATATCTTTGACTATTACGATAGAAAAGTAATAATTAATGGTACTTTTCGACTAATCTTCAGTGGCTGCTGGGTATATAAAAACCTCGATGCGCAGGTTGAGCTCATTTGTCAATCTGACTGCGGACCGAATAGATTGAAAGTTTAATTTGGGTGGATCGAAGATGTGAATGGGGTGGATAGTGGTCATTGGCTAGTACCGAGAGCTCCATCTATACTTCACCACTTCGTATAATTTAGTAAAAATCTCAGAATCAGTTTAACAATTTATTACTACCATGTAATTAATAAAAGAAATTTATTTTACTTTATTTTATTATTGAAAAGTAAAATTTGCAATAGTTTTGCACGAAGAATAAGAGAAGCAACGAAGAAACCATTATCTTGTTAATTATATAGGATGATTTAGCTTAAATCTACGTATCATAATCATACTCAGAACCAATATAAGTAAGTACCGTTTTGGCTGCAAGTTACATTTTGATACTTCATAACTGTTTTGGAAGAGATCTTTATATAAGCGTAGTTAAATGCTATTTCTGGAACCGGTTCAATCTCTGAAAGGGTCTATATCACTGACGTTTGTGAAGCTAATTTGCTACAGCCGTTGACTATCCAAGAAACACTGTGACATTTGAATATTAATTTCCTTCATTTGAATCACAATGTAACAATCAAGCAGGCCCGATTGAAGTTTAATATTAAAGTGCAATTTTCTGCTACTAGATACCCGGCTAATCATCGTAAATTTATTTCTTACCATTCTATGAATTTCAATTAGAATCTGTATGCAATATGCGTCGTGGATGTTATCTTAGAATCCTACGCCAGCTTTCCACAATTCATTTCTTATCACTTTACGAATTTTAATTAGTATCCGTATGCAATATGCATCGTGGATATTATCCAGGCCTTCTGCACGAGCTTTCCACTTAATCTTCGAGGAGAAATTCGAAACCCCCTCGCATTCGAAGGGACGATGCTTTGCATAAGGAAATCTCAGACAATATCCATCGTAAATAAACCTAAGCTTTAAAACCCTCGTTCTGAACGCGTCCTATCTACGATTTAACTATTCTCATCAGTTATTCGAACCCGCTATTAATCCGATTGAAAGTCAAGATGCACAGTTATACGCTGGCGAGGTAATACGTCAGAGAACAAAACTCGATGGGATTATGTTAAAGCGTATGTCTGAAGGGGTCTTACCTTGCACAGGCCATAGAGTAGCAGGATGCTGCAAATCACACCGCAGCACGAGCATATAAGCAGCGTCACGTTAAACCGTACCGTTGCTGAAGCAATAGAAGCATGTTGAACGTGAGACCTTGTCGTTTTGAGTTTGCAATTGAAGTGTGATTTCAGGCAATTACGCGCGGGGAACACGGTGTACCGATTAATGACTTATGTTACTGGAATGGAATTGCAGGATGTTCTCTATAGTGGACATTATTGTTACAACCGAGCACTCACTGGGCGATATGGTGTCCGGTTCTAGGAAGCTGGTGGATTCTGGCAATGAACGATTCCCCTGCAGATATTGACTCTCCCCCTGGAGCACTTTGCCCGTGGTTAACGCCAATACGGTAAAGTAAATCTGAAACAGAACAAATAATGGTCGGCAGCTCGTCATGAATCATTCTGATTACGAGTTTACCGAGAAAAGTACATCATGAAACAACTTGGGGATCGAGTTCCTCAGGAATTCCGGAGCGCTAATTGAATATCGGGGATGGAAGAGATATTGTGTACTTAATACAGCAATATTGGTATCCAGTGTTTAATCTCATTTTTATTCATTGTTAAGTAAGTAATACTTCGTTTTACGCGAACAGGGTTGCTAAAGGTTTGCTAACGATAGGTTAATATAATATTATTCGACGTTTTGAGACATTTGAGAAAATTTAAATTTAACCGTTAATTATATTAATTATTGTCGGTGAAACAGATACCATGTACGTGTAATTCCAATAATCCCGGTTCATGTTGATTATGCCAGCACATGTCAATAATACCGTCTCGCGTTTTCACTACATGTATCGATTACGACAGATAATAATATCGAGCTGCGATCCATGGATCCTTCTTCCTGTAAGCGACGCTGAAGACATCAGACACGTTTATATAGAGCTCTTATATACATATTAAATTCACTGAGTTGTATCAAAATGTATTCTGTTCTTCCACTATCAACCCCTAACGCTCAGAAATATTCAACAATTACTGATATGGAATCTGATTGACTTTGAGTAGTACAGCCTTTTGCGTAATTGACATATTTTTATTAATTCCTATGTGTTTCTGCATAACGATTTAACCATTGGTTACCATTTAACCAGATGGTCTCGGAAATGATCCTTTCTATACGGGAGTTTGAGAGAATTGCGAGCTATGTGTATACAAATGAGTGCATTATAAGATTATTCGAAATTTTTGGAAAGATTAATTTTCAATAAAAAGAATATTTTGTAGATTAATAACTGTGTTTTTACGTTAGTATATCAGGAACTGGATGTCAGTTTAACAAATGATACGTAGGCTACTTTGAACTAATAACATCGGTAGAAATGCGGTTATGATGAATGAGTTTGATTTAAAGATAGTATAATATATAAAAAATTTTAATATATCTTGGAAAATGAAAAATTGCGAGGTCATTTTAACTTAAGAAAGTAATATTGACGTTTGAAACTTGCTTTATGCATATTCGAAACTGCTGTTGCTTCAGCACGTTGTGTATAGTTCGGTAGAACTATTACTCGTTGAGGGTAGAAGTTCAGAGTTGTAGATTTCGTACAGAGCCGTGTTCAGATGTTGGATTAGGGTTTACTTTCGACTTCGATGGATTAGCATAAATTCGCTCAAAATTTTCGTGCAACTTACGTCGAAGTACCTAAAGTGCTACTCGGTGTACCTGGTTGGAGTTAACCACCATTAATTACCATAATTAATTAGCCACCACTAGTCACCATAACCGTGTGAATATGCTTTAATTGAAAATTGGATTTCGATTCTTCCCTAGCCTACAAGGGTAAGTTTCACCTTAGGATTCGTCCCTTTCGCTGGTCCATCCACTTTAGTCGAATCGCAATCGGATCCTTGTCGATTGATCCGTTTTTACTCCTTTATTTTTTATGCTTCAGCTACTTCCAAGGTAGCGAGATATCCTATAGAAATTGGTATTCTCAGATCAGATTGTATCTCCCCAAAAGGGGAATCTCGGGTACTCCATCCTATAAAATATTTATAATATTATAATTTCGAAGCCCCGCTTCTCGATATTTCGTTTCATGTATATCTATTTCACCGTGCAAATTGATAACACGACGAAGAATAAGTGCGCTTAATCGTTTTACAACTTCATTAGTTCGTTGCGTGTTTTATCCAAGTTCAGTTAAACGGAATTTTAATGCTTTAAGTATTCCGTTTAATTTTGAATATCTATACCAGTGCCCATAATTATTTTTAAGCGACGTCGAGTGAGTGCACTATACTGTAAAATTGAAAGGAATTATAACAAAATAAGAAATATCGCTAGTTAAGTTATTTTTCGGAAATTTTTATTGATTAAGGTTACGAATATGGTTTAATTTCACTTATATTGTACTTTAATATACTCGACATAAACACCGAAAGGGTTAAACTAATAGATATCAGGGAAATGCAACGTTTTCTAATAAAACACAAAACATTTTTCAGACATTCTCAGAAGCTGCAGCTCATTTTCAGTCTTAACTGATCGCTTTTCTAAATGCACGTTCATAAACATCTGATACGCGTACTCTAACAAGACTTAAGTAAATCCCTTAGAAACCAAGAAACTAAGAAGTTTAACTTCTCGTTAAATCGATGTTCTCCATAGTTGTCGTGTTAAAATTACACGCAGCGAAAGTTTCGCAGAAACGTAGTATCTACAAGAACATCTATAAAATGTTAGATCGTTTAGTAAGTAATATCAAATTTTTAGTTTATTTAATAATACGTAATACTTCGATTTAGCCAAAAATCGTGCATTTTTAGAAAAACTCACAGATTTCGAAAACTAGCGATGATAGAGCAATTTCAATTACGGATTGGTTTTCAGGAAAGTAAACTCTACAAGAATTACCCAATGAATATCACAGATTAAAATTCTTGGTGAACAGTGTTATTAATCCTTATGATTTGTCTAAGTGGTTGCCAATAATCGCCTGTCAATTGCAAAGGGTTAAAAGAAAATTACCGCTATTTCACTGTTGTTCGATATCGACGTATCGATATTAGGGGGTAGGAGAAATCGCGTTCATTTAAGAGCACGATTCGACTAAATTCACATCGTTGCTCGCACATTTGTCAACATTTATCATTCGTCGGTCGATTTGACGCGTTTTATGAATCGCGCAATGGAACGCGTGTATTCATTCGTGCCATGCAGGTACGCAGCAGTTGAAAAGGGTGAGTGGGTGCTGAAAGGCGTGCTACCCGAGGGGTGCGTCGCGCCTCTTCTTGTCGCGCGAACGATCGATCCTACGTGACGGAGGTTATTGAAATTGCTTCCCCCTTCTTGTTGTCTCTTGTTGGGTCGTTACGTCGGCCTTGGACCAATTTCGTCATCTTGTACGCTCTCAATGTGTTGTCAACTTTGCAAACGCCTACAAACGCCCTTTCGCCGCGGTTCTTTGATCTAGTATCTAGCACAGTATCCAGCATATACAGCACAATCGCGTACTTCACGTTTCGACCAAAGTCGAGATCACCCGCATGTGGGTTCCAGACTCTACCATTTCCAATTTCAACGCACACCCAGAAAATTTTTCTTTTCTCGCGTGTTAGATTGATTACTAAGTGAAATTTCAGATTAATTACACTCGCTCCGATTTCGATACTCGTACAATATAATTTTACACGCGAAAATTAATTGTAAAATCGATCACTGATTATACGCTCGTATAAACTGATCATAAATTAGGAAATACGGTAAATATAAAAATAAGAGAAAAATAATATTTCTTTAATATCTCGTATAAAGCTTATTTTTAATTTTGATCTATGTACCCTCGCGAATGGTTACTTCGTTTCCTAATTGTTATTAGCGAGCGTATATTCGAGAAAAAATTGTTCAGAATTTATGAGAAACGAAGGGAAGCCTGAAACTACGTGTCGATATCCCGAACCCTCGCGATTCAAGGGTCAACTGTATATTTTAAGGGAATTGAAGTCCCATGATGGTGTAAGATATCTCCAAATTGGTCAATTCTTTTCTTCTCTTATTGGAAACATAATTATGTCCAATCTCCTCGTACGAAGATTACGTGATAAGAGTGTCATATATCAGTGTGCCACTGATCAATGGCAAATTTCCAAGTTTAACGCACACTCGTGTCCCCAAGCTTACGTAAAACTCAACAGCTCGGACTACTAAAGGATAGTTTCCAATGACTGGGACAGATTATTCCGGTACGCCCGGAACGAGTGGTGGACTTAATCCAGTCATAAGCGGATGGTAATACAAAATGGTAACTAAACATCGGCCAATTAGCCGTCGGACTTTACGACCACGAATTAACAAAGATTAAAGCAACGAAGTCTGGAAAGACCTCTTAACCTTTTCCGAGATGTGACGGGAAACGGGAAGGGAATTATCGTCCGCAGTGCAAACGGTAAAACCGTCCTTTCAGTATTTCACCATTAGAGTTAAACGCATGGAACGTCATTCGTCCGTAACGTCTGATACAGCCATGAATTATTGAGTTCGTATTTCCATACTCGTATACGTTGCAGCTATACGTTCCTCAGTTTTCGATCTATAAATCAGGGACTCAGAAAACTATGAACGTCACAGCCCGAGCACAAAGCGTTGCTGGAATTTTGGAAACGCGATAGATGATCGATACGCATTGGTATTTGTAAAATATCTATTCCGCTGCTGCACGATTTTATATCACGCAAGATATAACGCGATAAACGTTCCCGAGGTTGTGCGAAAAATATTCTTCCTCGATTTTCGACCAGACATACAGAGTGTGCACTGTGTTATTGAAAAACATAACTCAAAACGCTTTTCTACGGTTCTTTCTTGTATCGCGAAATAAACTGTAATCAAAGCAATATCCGTGAAACCGCGTTCCACCCATCGAATTCAATAAGCCATCAGAAGTGGAGCTATGCCCGCCGTTTGAGAAGGGAAAAAGGGAACGGGAGGCTGGTGTAAAAAGGACGATCCACGAGTAGCTGATAGCCCATTCGAAAAGACGAGAGGCGAATTGTTGGCTTTTCCACCGGCACCCTGGGATATGACTTTCTAGGGAAACTCGATGGGGAATTTTTTGTTACGGAACACGCCGCTCTATTGCTCGCACCGTTTCATCTAACGATATCGTATGTCGAACATAGATGACTCTCACGACGGTTCGAATTTTTTATCTCCTTTATCTTCTATGCCGTTCGAATAAACTGGTTCTAGCATTCGAAACTGAAGAGTTCGTAATGTCTGAAAGGATCATTATTTTTTGAGTCTCTAGGTAACGAGGTATTGTTAAGGAAAAGTTCAAGCCCGTTATTTGCGTGTACCATCCAAGTAATATGTGATCAAATGTATATTAATTGTAATAAAATACG